AGGCTTGTGGCCTGGATGGGACAGAAAGAAGGCAGGCTTGCTGCTGCTGCTTGTTGCCTGGCTGCCTTCTGCCTGCCACACCATGAACTGCTTCTCTTTGATGCCCCTCTGCTGGGCCACCCTGCCTTGGAGCTGGCTGACTGTGGACTGAAACCTCTCCTTTTTTGAGGGTTGGGTATTTTGTCTCAGCCACAAGAGTATAACTAAGATTGGGGCTGGGGATTTAGCTCAGCGGCATAAGCGCCTGCCTTGGAAGCAGGCAGTCGTGAGTTCGATGCCCGGTACCGATAAAAAGGAAAAAAGACAAAAAAAAAAAAAAAAAGAGTATAACTAAGATTGAGCTATTTCCTACTCTGCCTCCCAGCCTTGCTGTGCTAAGTGAGCATGGCTAGAAGGCCCTGTGAGAGGAGGAGGGGGTAATGGAGTGACAGGCCAGGTACACAAGGCGCAGGCTCTGGGAAGGGATTCAGGATGCAGGAGGGTTTGGGGTGCATGCTCGGAGTCAGCACCCCTCCGTGGAAGAGGAGCTAGAGAGCTGGACGGGCAGCAGGCACCCAAGCTTGAGCTTCAGTTCGGGTGATGGAAAGTTCCTCCTGAGCCAGGTGTCCTGCACAGGGACTGGAAGGCCTGGAGATGTCTGTTGGTCACAGGAGCAGTGCACTGGGAAAGGAAGCAGGACGCCCAGCAAGATTGCTCCCAGGTGTGGCAGCACTGTCCCAGGAAGGAGTCGGGGGACAGTAGCTGCCTGCGTCAGCACCCCAGCAGCCATCAGACAGATCCTTCATGCCTAGGGAGACCTGGGTGCCACATCCTAGGGCCGTCTCAGGAAACTGTGAAGTCAGTGACTGAGCAGGAATGGCTTCTCAGAACAAGGAGGGTCAGTCCTTCTCTTCCTTGAGGAACGGCAGGACCAGTCAGAGGAGCTCTGCACGCAGTGGGTAAGCACCTGACTTCAGGGAAGTTAATTCATCTCTCTGCTTCCATTTCTCACCCAAAACTGGGCTGGTTATGTGAACCTCCTTGTGGGATTGTTGTGAAGCTTAAATCAGCACATTCAGGTACCTTGGTCCTTGAGTGAGTGAGTGACAGCCCTGTGTCACAGGGACACTACTCTTATCACTTAGCTGTGGTCGGCAGAAGTGAGGTGTGTGGGCTGAGCTCCAGCCCCAAGGTCCTCTGGACCAGGGGGGCGCCCTGGTGTCTGGGTTCTGCCCCCTGCCTTCCAGTACCCCAAAGCTCAGTTTCAGCAACAGCTCAGTGCAGAGCCTGGGACAGATTCCGGAGGGACACCTGCATATGATAAAAGCTTTTGAACATCGATGTGAAAAATAACATGGGCCCCGCTTAGTCAGGCTTCCACAGAATCCCTCTTCTGTGGTGGCAACACCCTCCCTCCCACCATCTCGACATCACTGCACCAAACCTGTGGGGCTCTGGGGTCTCTGGTAGCTTCTTATCCATCCCTGGGAGCAGAGCAAGAAGGGGGTGTGGGGCTTCTAGGTGCCCTGTGCTCCCGTCCCAGGCCAGAGGCCACTGGACAGAGGTAGGGAACCAGAGAATCCAGGCCCCTGGACTCAGGCTTTGCTCCACTTCCTGGTGTCCCATCTTGCCCTGCCCCAGGCCTCACTCTGGTTCTGGGATTGTCAGGGTAGGAGAACAACCTGAGTATCTTCAATTTCTCTGTGATCATCTTGGTCCCAGGCATCAAAGGGTAAAGAGCTCTAAGGTGTGGGCTCTGGAGGCAGGTTACAACAACAGCACCCTGGGTTTGTCCTTATAGTGCACAAAACCTGCACATGTCCTCACTGCTGGCTTATAACTCCTTTCAGGTAGGTATTTTAGTATCTGCCCCAGCCCCATTGTTTAGATGGGAAAACTAAGACTCAGAGTACTGAGGCGTCTTTTCCTGAAACACTGAGCCTGCTCAGGACTCAAACTCAGTCCCTGTGTCTGTGTGTGGTGCTGGTGACAGAACCCAGGGCTAGGCAAACATTCTGCCTCTGAGCCCCGTCTTACCCCTTTTTATTTTATTGCCTCTTTTCCTCCATCCCTCTTTAAAATTTTGAGATACTTTCTTACTGAGCTACCCAGGCTGGCTTGGAACTCATGATCTTCTTGCCTCAGCCTCCTAAGTAGTTGGGAATCACAGCTTTGTGATACCACACCCAGCTTAAATTTAGGTCTTTTGTCTTCACTTCCTGTGTCAACTGGGTCCTGCTGTCTCTGTCTTGAAGCAACTTGAGCCACTTTGGTTTTCTGGGCCTTAGTTTTTCTAGCTGAGTATTGAGAGTTGCCCCCTCTGTTTAGTAGTCTTGGCAGTTGGAATGAATGGGTAGCATGGGGAAATTGAGGGGGAAGGCCGGTGCCATCTGTTCCCTTCTCAGGCCCCAGCTGCCACCTCTCAGTAACCTCCACCACCTTCCTGTGTGGACCTTTCACTTCTATTTTATTATCACCTCATTTGTAGGATTTTAAGGTTTGTTACCTGGAGAGGAAAGAGGAGCTCACACCTCCAATTCCACTTCTCAAATACACCTTCTTCACTTGTGAAAATAACCTTATTAGCAGCATCTAAACTGCTATGGCCTTGTCTGAGGGATACCCAGATAAATAAATACAGGAGGAACCAGGGCAGGGAACAACATGGCTGACTGGGGCCCCAGGATACCACCCTGGGGTCGGCAGAACTGGGAGAGAAGACCAAGCAGCCTTGAGCACCCAGCTCTCTCCCTGGGCCTCTGCCCACTCCTGGAAGCAGCTCCAGGGCCAGCCCAGCTCCCCATCTAATCCCCTTGTCTGGATTGATTCTCTGGGCAGCTTCCCCTCCGAGCAGCAAATGAAATATTGGTTACTAGGAATGAGTCGGGAGCCAATTAACCCCCAGACCTTGCCACATCTGAAGGAAGCTGGACGAAGAGCCATGCACACCTGCCTGGGCTCCCTACACACTTACCCAATTAGGACAGCCCCAGAGGTGGCCCTGTGCCCTCTCTAGTCCCCATTACCCCAGACACCAGGGCAGCACCAGACCCTGGGCTGCAGCTGCCCATGCTGTGCCCCACATGATCACCTGCCAGCCCTCCTGGGGGCAAGCTTAGGGCCACCATCAATCTCACACCCCTCTTGGCAGGGACATTATTCATTCATTAACTACTTAATCCTAGAGGGGAAGCTGTCGGGGAGGCTTCTCTCTCTTGCAGTCTGCCTGTGCCGGCCTCTCCAACCCTACTGGCCATGCCCACTCGGCTCCCAGAGACTCCTGGGGGATGAGGAGAGGAGTCTCTCCTTTGGGGAACCCCCAGCTTGTGCCCTCCTCTTGGCAAGGCCTGGTTTAAGAGGATTTGTGTCTTCCTTCCAAACCTCTATCATGGACCGCAGACTCCAAGCACACTGAGGAAACTAGATCCTGGCTGCACTGGGCACAAGTCCCACCCCTTGGAGCAGACAGCACAGTGTCTGGAGGTGGGGGGACCCTGGGTGATGGAGGAGCACAGTCTTGCCTTTAGGAAGTTTCCAGGCCAATGGTGGTGACAGCCCTTGCTGCCAGGTATCCCACAGCTAAGGAAAAATTGGACTTTGCTTTTGGGAGGCTGCTATGGGGGCAGGGGTCCCCCACTTGAGTCCTCCTTCAGGACACCCCTCAGCCCACAGGGTGCAGCAGGGGATTGGCTTCAGTCCAGCTCCAGGTGTGCAGCAGCCTTCCCACACAACCAGGGGTGAGTCCCAGAGCTCTGTTGCAAGCCCCTCGTCGGCAAAATGGAGAGCCCAGTCCCATCTCCCAAGTAACATGAGGATTGTCAAGGCACCAGGAAGCAGCATGTGACCGGCCACGCCAGACATGCGTGGCGAAAGGGAGCCGCACACATTTCACTGTAACAGAGGTCCTGGGCCAGTGCCTGGGGGCTGGGCTCGGGGGGTGGTGGCCAGGTAGTGCTGCGCCAATGTGGCTATTAAAGAATTTGCCGGGCGCTGTGGGTGGCACTGAGGGACAGAAGTGGCTTCCAATCTAATCACTGCCCACGGAGCTTCTAGTTCCAGCCAGACCTGCCGGGGGTTTTATTGGGTTTGTGAGGACCTGCAGATTTCAATCTCCAGACCCACAGGGAAGGAACAAGTATTAAGCTAATTTTATTAAATGGCCACAGCTGGCAGTGGGGGAAGGTGAGGAGAGGGCGGATAAAGAAAGTCATGCAAGCCCGGCAGCCATGACCAGGGTCCATACAAGGGATCTGGTCAGGTGGGAGCCACCCTCTTCGTGTCCCTGAAGCTGAGCCATAGAGGAGACCTTTCCTGCCATGGAGCCTGGGGACTCTCCCAGAGCTGCTGCATGCTGCCATCTGGGGCAGACACCCCGAACACATCGGGCTTCCGCAGAGCCAGGTGTGGGATGTAGAATGGCAGCCGGGGTTTTGTCCAGGTAACTCTGACCTGACACACAGAGCCCTGGGGAAGCACACCTGCCTGTTCCTAGCTCTGGGGCCTTGGCAACTCGAGTAACTTCCGGGCACTGTTCACTACAGGCCCATAGCGCCACCGCACAAGAGGCACCCATGTCCCGTTTCCCTGCTTGGGAAGGCTGGCTCAGGAGAATCACTAGAGCCCAGGAGTTTGAGACCAGCCTGGCTAGCATAGCAAGACCTGCATCCCCAAATAAATGAATGTACAAAGAAATAAAATGGACAAACCAACCGCATCCACGCTACAGAGCACAAGAGCATTTATCAGAATCCACCTTCCGGGCACAGGGAAAATGCCTAGAACACTCGAACCCAGGAGAAAATGCCTAGAACGCTCCCAGGGGACAAGAAAACCCTTGCTGTGCAACAAGGGCATGGTGGCCTGCAAGGAGACCACAGCACTGAGTGCAACCACAGCACTGCAAGGAGACCACAGCACTGAGTACAATCACAGCACTCAGCAGCTACCACCCCTGAGGCCAGCTCCTCAATCTCCCCAAGACTGCTATCTCCCCAGCTGACTTCGACAAATGCTCAAGCATGTATAAATAACAAGAGCTGTGTTTATTGAGCATGTCCGTTATACCTCTTTTCAGTCTACATCCCATGGATGAGAAACAGGCTTGTTCCTTTTTTTGCACCAGGGATTGAACTCACAACCTTGCACTTGCGAGGCAGGTGCTTACACCGCTGAGCTAAATCCCCAGCCCCTGGCCTGTTCCTTTCTATGCCATCACAGACCCATAGTGGGTCCCAGAGGCATGATTCCCCCAGGACCAGTGTCGCAGGAAGAGACAAGAACCCAGGAGTCCCACCTTAGACACTGCCTGTGACGGCCAAAGCAGTATGTGCCAGAACGTTCACCTCAGGAGGTGGGGGAGTGGGGGACAGGCTGCTTCCCACAGGGTTCCAGTGCTTCGAGCACTAGCAGGTCAGTGTCCCTGCTGTCCTCTTCAGGGTACAGACCGCACCGCAGGTGGGAAGGTTTTTATTATAGCTTTGGTCAGAGGGACACAGCTGGGCTGGGGCTTTGGGGTGCTGGGGCTAGGCAGCTTCTGGGATGCAGGGATTTGCCACCCCAGGCTGAGGCTGCAGGCAGGTGGGTCTGCTGGGTCAGCCTTCTGCTCCCTGGGGGCGGGGCGGGGCGCAGCCACAGGGCTCAGTCAGAGTAGATGATGAAGCCGGAGAAAGTGCTGTACTTGTTGCTGTTGCCGCCGTGGGCTTTGCCACCATCCAGCTTGATGAAGACCTCATCACCCGCATCCAGGTGCAAGATCACACTGTTGCTGGCATAGTCATAGTTCTGGTCTGCGTCCTGAGCGATGGCACTGGCCCGGACCTGCGGGGTGGGGTGAGGGTGGTGTCAGGCATCCCTCCCCCTGCTCTTCCTGGAGACAAGACCCAGGGAACCCCAGGAAGGAGGCCACACTCTGAGTGCGGGTGTCCTCCTCAGTGTCTGTGGACCCCAAGACTGAGCCTCCTGGGAAGCCCTGCTTGCTGACCAATGCTCTAGAGCTGGGCACAAAGGCTGCTGGCTGCCCTGTCTTCCTCTCTGCACTGATAAAGGGATGCCTCACACCTTGGCGTGTCTCCTGTTCTACCTGGGGGCAGACCAGGGATGCGCCTTGGCCAATACCAAGTGGCTAGGCCCTAGTGAGCAACCATGCCAGAAACCCACAGGATGCACAGGACTTGGCAGTGGCTGCATCATTTGAGCTCAAAGCCTGCCGTCACTTGTTGTAGAGCTCTGACTAAAATCCCAAGCCTCCCTGTGCAGTGGTCACTGAACATCTCTGGACACTCCTCTTTACCACCGAGGTGACTTTGGTCTGAGCCGGAAGACCCAGAGTCCTGGGGCAGCTGGGGGAAAGAGGCTCCCACAGCCCCACTCCCCGCTTCCTGGGAGGCAGTCCTTGGAAGTCAAGGAAAGGGCCTCTCCCCCTCCCCACAGCAGACAGCAGAGGTCATGGGGTCAAGCTGCTGACTCAGCAGCCACTCGGCCTGCCTTCCCAAAGCCCTGTGCAGCACACAGCCCTCCCAGTGGCCTCACAGAACTGCAACCCCCTCTCCCAACCCTTCACTCCCCAGCTTCCTCTGGGCCTGGGAGGCAGCAACCCACCAGAAGCTCTTTGGGGTCTAGGTAAAAGGAGGAGGAAGTGCTGTCAAGGTTCCCAGTACCTGTCTAGAAAGCTGCATGCAAAGACCCATCTCACACTGCCACTTTACAAAGCAATCCTGATGCTAAAGAGAAGAAATTTAGGGGCTGGGGGTTTAGCTCAGCAGCATAAGCACCTTCCTTGCAAGCAGGCAGTTGTGAGTTCGATCCCTGGTACTGATAAAAAGGAAAAAGACCAAAAAATAAAAAAAGAAGAAATTTAAATCTTGAGGGGCTCTGAGCCACTAGGAAGCCTGAAAGCAAGCCGCCAATTTCTGTATTGTTCCCCAGGCCCTAACCCTGGTAGTATTTATCAGTACACATGCATTTCATTATCTTTGCTAATAAATTACTACTAATAACAATTATTTTTATTACCCAGATTAATTTAGCCTTAACTCATTAGAACAGTGTGCTCCATAATAGCCAAGCCCATTAGAACCCAGTCATCTGTCATCAGGAATCTCCTGGTGATGTGACAGGCGTCAGAATCGTTCTGCTTATGTTTATTATTTATTCATCACCATGATTGTTGCTGTAATTGTCCTAATTATCCGCAGAGGTAGGGAGGATTGATGCCCTTCCACCCTGGGATGCTGGGGGGCCAGAAATGGAACCCAGGGGTCCAGGAAGCAGCCGAGGCTCCTATCTGCTCCTGGGGGGCAGGAAGTTCTGGGTCTGCTGCCTCGGAAGTAGAAAAGCAGCACTGTTGAATATCTCCGCAAAGGCTGCCAGGAGGGAAACTGAGGTTGCAGCCTGCCCAGGAGAACTGACTCTGTGGGTCCAAGAAGCCTGTCCCTATCCCTGGTCACTGCTGGGGTCTTCGCAAGCTGCATGGGTCTTAGCCCAGCCTGCAGGGGACTCAGCTTTGCCTTCACTAGGCCATGTTGTTTCAGGCACCGTGCAGGGCATAGCGGGCACCAAGGGCAGCAGGGACTCTCCTGCCCCCAGGCGAGGTGACTCTAGCCTGGTCTATACCACAGCCCTGCATTCACACCCAGCACCACCTCTGTTTTAGCCCTTCTCTGTCTGCAAGCCTCACTTCACCAAGGCAGCTGTGCAGGGTGAGGCACACACTGGCCACAGGCCCTGGCCTGTGCCCCGAACTCTTGTCCAAAGTCTCAATTCTGTGTCCTCACAGGTCTCACTGTGGCTATGGAGACTCCTCAGGTGGCTGGGCTCCTGCAGGCCCGGCACCGCCTCAGGCTACAGGCTTCCTGGTGACTGGGGCTTGGAGCCCTCAGGGTGCAGGGTGGCCCCAGGAGGGGCTGGGGCTGCCCCTCAGCCCCACTCTTCTTCCCCATGGAAGGCATGCAGCCCAGTTCTGCTCCACCTTCCCAGAGAAGTTCTGGAAGATTCTGTAGGCACCAAGCCAGGCAGACCTGGCAGGGGAACAGGCAGCCCCAACCCTGAAGGCACAGGAGGTGCACACTCCTCTCCCCCATCCCCACCCACTGTCCAGCCCTGTCATTCTCCTCTGCCCACAAGAAAGTCCCTGTGCCTCTCTGAGCTGGCCTTGTCTACTTACCCGGGGACCCTAGCTCATCACACTCTCCCCCAGATAGAGCCAGAGGAGCCCCTGACATCGCTTTCCCAGCCTACCTTCCACAGGGAACTCATGGGGGTTACCTAGGACACTGCTGTCCCCCTGCTTGGGCCACACAGACTGGACCCCTGGCACAAAGCCCCCAACTGGATTTTTACCAGGAGCTCATCACCAACCCTGGAAGGCCTGGTGAAATAAATGAGGCTCCCAGGCAAACAGGAGGAAGAAGTGGGGATCCACAGAGAATGGGGGTGCTGCAGAACCCACTGCTTCTCTTGTGTTTTGGGGGACTGGTATGAGTGACTGTGAAAGCAAAGACTCCTAGGTAAAGCACCTGCCTTTTCCTCGTACCTGTGGTCTCTTCTGGGGAGCCCCTGCCCAGGTTCCACCAGCACACAAAGGGCTCTAAGGACAGACCCACCTCCAGGTGAGTGAGGGAAGTCCCCCAGCCCCAGCCCCCACCCTCCCTCATCTCTGGGACCCTGGAGTGACTTCTTAGGTGGCCTAGCAACTGCTTCTCCACCTCAGCCTGAAGCCACAGCTTGGTGACAGCCCAAACTTTCTTTGTAAAAGGAAGCTCCTATCTGTGAAGGCTACACTGTGTCCCTAGTTGGCGATTAATATGGAACCATGGGCTGTCTGCAGAGGAGCCTCATGGGGTACTGGGCCTCCCATTTGATCAGGAACCAAGGACAAAGAGGAGAGGCTGGGGAAGCCAGGGAGACACAGGTGGGAGATGCAGTGATAAACAGAGAGGAGGGGCTCGGACCCCAGGGAGAAAGACCAAAAATGGAGGGACAGAGAGGAACAGGGGGTGGGGAGGGGCGTGCAGGGGAGAGATGGAGGAGACAGAGAGAGAAAGGACACACAGTACAGGCAAACACCAGAGAAGGGGGAGGTGCAAGTGGGGGACAGGAGAGGGGAAAGGGAACACATCTCCAAGTATAACAGGCCATCTGTGGGCCCCTCCCCTTCCTGATCCCAAAGCCAGCAAGGTCAGGGTAATGCTGCAGCCCGAGGGGTTCCAATCCTTGTTGGTTGGGGAGGAGGCGAGGAGAGCATCCCTTCCAACTCTCTCCGACCCAAGGGTCCCCTCCTTTCAGAAGAATCCTAACCAGACCAAATCAGCTTGCTGGGGGCCGGATCCCGTGGGCGCTCTCCTCCGTGGCTCCAAGGAGCACCAGGCAGGGCTGGATCACATCACCTAGAAAAGCTGGACCTAGGAGGTCGCAGGGGAAACTTTTTCTGCGAATTGGCCTCCCAGCAGGAAAGGGATCGCGCATTTCCAGGTTTCGAGGGTGCAGCCCGGCTAAGGGGACTCAGACTGGCGCAGCCCTTCCCGCCGCGAATCGACTCGCCCACCTGGCCGTTCTTGCACAGGTCTGCCCACATACTCGTGCCGTCGCCGCCGCGCATCAGGACATGGTAGGTGAAGAAGTAGGTGCCCGGGATGCTGCACGTAAACTTGCCGCTGGCCGAGTCGTAGCTGTTGCCTAGGTTGGTGACCACGTCGTCGAACTTGAGCACCTCGTAGCCCTCGTGCGGGTTCTTGAGGCCGGCGTAGAAGGCCACGCGCGGTACCATGGTGTAGGTGGCGGCGCTCACCGCACCCGCGGCTCCTGCTCCGGGCAGCCCCTGGGGCCCCGGCGGGCCCGGCTCGCCCCGCACCCCTGGCGGTCCCGCTGGACCCGGGGGGCCCTGGTCTCCAGGTGGGCCCGGGGGGCCCGGCTTGCCTGTGCGGCCCGGCTTGCCCTGAGGGCCCTGCACCAGCGTGGACGGCGGCGAGCTCTGCTCGGTGCGGGCGTCGCCGGCGCGCGCGGGGTAGGGATCGCACACCATGCGGCAGGTGCCCAGCATCTCGTAGTGGCCGTCCGGGCCGCCCGAGCTCACCAGCACGGGGATCAGCACGACCAGAACCAGCAGCATCACCACGCCAGCAGCGGCCGCCAGCAGCGTCTTGCGGCCAGCGCGGAGCCTGGGCAGAGCCGGGCTGCCCGGCCGCGCCGTCGGGGCAATGGTGCCGGCGGGCAGGGGCGCGCGGGGTGCCGCGCTCAGGGGCCGTCCGGCGGGGCTGCTGGCATGGAGCCGAGCCGGGCGCCGCGCCGCGCCGCAGGCGCTGCGGAGCCCTGCACCGCTAGGGCCTCGCGCCTCCCTCCCGCTGTGCGGCCGGACTGAGCCCGGCGCCCGCCGCTCGCGCCTCCCGGAGCCGACCCCGCCCCCGCGGAGCCACACCTCCACCAAGCCCCGTCCCCGCCCGTGAGGTTGGCGGCTCGAGAGGCGGAGCCGCGGGCGGAACCGGAGCTTGATTGGGCAGTGGGTGGTGGGCGGGGCTAGTGGCGGGGAGCACGCCGGGTTGGGAAGGGGCGGCCAGGCTGCTGGGCAGCAGGGTTGTGGAGCGGGAAGACCTTTAAATCCCTGCTGCTCGGCGGGGGAGGGAGGGAGATCCACGGCTCAGAAAGGGCAGAAGCCAGGGAGCGCCCAGGGTGCTGGGACGGAGGAGGACGGCAGGGAGCTGTCCGGGGTCGGGGCCGGGTCTCCCATCCGCGCCCCCTGCGAGCCGCTCGTCCCCGCCTCCCTGGGCCGCCAGGTTCTGGTCTGGACGCGCTGGGCTCTTTTGGCTTCCAGCACTCTTGAGACTCCAGACCCCCATCATGAGGCCAGGGTCCGCGGGACTCTGGGTAGTTCAGCTGCTAAGGGTGGCGCCCCCAGCCAACCCCCCGCGGCAGTCGGCAGAGTGGAGACTCCCGCCCCAAGCACCTCAGAGGCGCCGAGGAGGAGCCGCGGGCGGTGTCCGACGGGGACGCGAGTTGAGCTTTGCACCGAGACGTGGACGGGGGAGCGGCCATTTCCCCGCCGATCGTGGCCGGGACTTGGGGACCCCATCATATACGCTGGCAGCAGGGTCCGTAGAGTGCGAGACCCAGTGTGCATGGAGAGGGGGAGTCTCCTCAGCCCCACTGCTGCGGCCTTGTAGGAACCCAGGCACCCCATCCCTTCCTTTACTACGTCCAGCCGGGCCAAGGAGGGGGGCCTTTCCCACCCTCTCCCGCTCCCTCAGCGCCTGGAGGCGTCTCTGTCAGCCCAGCCGGATTCTCCCTGCTTCGCTGGAGTGGAAAATAACCGCTTCAAACTTTGCGAAAAGGAGCCGGAGCCAGCGCTTTAATTAACAGCCTTCCCGGCCCTTGCACCCGACTTGCCGAGGTCCCTAAAGAGGTCGCCCACCGGCCCCCTGCGCCCCTCCCCAAGGGTTGGCCTAGTAGGGTGAACCTGAGCTAAACTATGGGGTTCAGCCTAGCACCCAAAGCCTCCCCAGACTTCCCTGGAGCCCAAGACCCACACTCAGCCCTGCCTGACCTGTGCCTGGGTCCTGCTCTGGAGAAAGGAAGTGGAAGGACACACTGTGGTTAAGGTGCTAGGCTCAGGACCTGACCTAAGGCACGCAGTATACGTTAGCGAGTATAACTGCCTTGCCTGGCTCAGTTCCAGCCCGAGGTCCTCTTGCAGGTCCCTCGGACCGCTGCTCCCATCAGGAGGGGGCACAGAGGCCTACAATTCTGGGTTCAGAAGAGGCCGCAGATGAGACAGGAAGGAAGCCTAGACTTGTGGCCCCCAGGCCTCTTCTTCAGCCACTGGCTAAGCCCTGGAAGGGGTGGCCCCTGCAGGGCGGTGTGCAGTAGTGTTCTGGGGACTCTGCTCTCACACCCCCCATGCCAGGAGCAGGTGCTAGGTGGTTTTGAGGACCACCTAGGGGAAGGGCAGCTAAGGGTTGTGACATGCGGTGGCTGTTGGGTATTTTGAGGTTCTCTGAATGAACTAACTGGGCATGGATGTGCTGAGCCTCCAGTGTGTGCTGGGGTCTGAGGGACGGGGCTCTGCCTTGACTCCTGCCTGCTGGGAAAATATTCCTTTGTCTCTGCATTCACTAAAACGCTCGCTAGGGGCTGCACAGTGGTCAGGGTGCTGGGTCCAAAAGGAAGACCTCAAAGCCACTGTTTGGCAGGGTCACAGCTAGAAATTATAAATGCTCTGCTAATTATTTTAGCCAACATTTTTTGAATACTAAGCACAATGTCCCATTCTAAGCATCTTATATGGATTACCTTGTTTAAACTTAATAACTTATTACCATGAATTTAAAATGATTACAAAGCTTATGCTATTTAATAGTAGCAAGTGCAAGGCAGGTTTCCTCATTTTACAGCTGAGAAATCTAAGGCTTGAGTACAGATTTGCACCAGGTGTTAGCAGAGTGACCTGCCAAAGAGAAGTCTGGGGAGACCAAACAGAGGAGGTGTTGTATTTCCATCTATCCACCCATATATTTACCCACCCATCTGTCCATCCACCCGTCCTTCCATTCACTCATCTACCCACCCACACATCCATCCCCCACCTATACATTTACCCTTCAATTCATTCACCAACCATGCACCTATCCACTCATCTACCTATCTACCCATCCACCCACCCACCCATCCCTCCATCTGTCCACCCACATATCTGTCTACCATCTACTCTTCCATCCACCCATCCATCCACCCACTCATCCACCCACCCATCTACTCATACACCTATCCACTTATCTATTCACCCAATTACCCCTCTATCCATTCATCCACTCATCCGTCTACTCACCCATCTGTCCACCCACTGTTCATTTATCCATTCCTCTATCATCCGTCCATCCACCCACTCATTCGTCCACCTGCCCATCCACCCACTCATCCACTCACTCATCTGTCTTCCATCCACCTTCCATCCATCCATTCACCCATCCACTTTTCTACTGTCCACCCTGTAAACCTGTTTTAGCCAACTGCTTGCCACAGCTCTTGTCATAGAACATAACCATGAGCAAGAAAAGGCCACTTGGCCCCTTGTGTTTCCAGTACACTCACTGCCTGGGGATGTGTGAGGGCTTTGGGAACACCCAGTGGTGTCACCTGAACTCACCTGGAGGCTGCAGTACCCCAGAGTTCCCTGGAGGGGGTGGTATTGCAGGAAGTCCTTACAAAAGGAGTCAGCAAGGTGAAGAAGGCAGAGGAGGGCGGGAGTATGGGAAGAGCATCCCAGGCAGAGAGAGCAGGGGTCAGGACTAAACTCACAGGGTGCTGTGAGCTGTAGCCAGGATTTATAATTTATCCCAAAGACGAGGGGACATTACTGAAGGGAGCTAGGCAGAGTGGCACATGCCCATAATCCCAGCTACTCGGGAGGCTGAGACAGGAGGACCCAAAGTTCAAGGCCAGCCTCGGTCAGCAAGACCTTATCTCAAAATTAAAAAATGAAAAGTTCTGGGAGTGTAGCCCAGCACTCCCAGTATTCAATCCCCAGTACCACAAAGCAAGCAAATAACAACTGACCCCCAGGGAGGTTATGAGGGGTGATATAATGGGGTTTATGGTGCCATGGGGTGGGCAGAACAAGGCTGCCAAGGGTTTTGCCCACTCCCCTGGGAAAGATCCGGGGCTGAGTGGGGCTCTGGGAAGGCTCAGGGGAACAGAGGGCGGGTAGACACTGCCTGGGCACCCAATGCTCTGTGTGCCTACTGAGCCCTCTCAGGATTTCAGGACCCGGGGCCTAGGATGCCAAGGCTGGGTGGTGACCTGCTGCATCCCGCTGTCCTTACCACATTGCAGGTGTGTGGCTGAGGATGACATGACAGGATGTGGGGCAGCCCAGGAGCAGGCCGAGCATGTTTGCAGAGGCCAGATGGCCAGGCCTGGCCAGGCCCCAGCCCGCCCGAGTGTTAGGGACATCTTGGCAAATCCCATGGCTCTCTATGTCCCCTGACAGAATGGGCAGCCCTGAGCCATTTCCCCAGCAGCCTCCATTAAAGGTCTCCAAGTCCACCATGACGTTTCAGGCAGAGGCTCTGGGCCCTTGGTGGGAAGACCTGGGCACTTCCTGTCCTTGGGGAGGGGGTGCTTGGTCAGAACGTGTGGCAGAAGGGTCGCTGAGTTATGGGGGCTGAACCAGGCTGCTCTTGGGTCAGGTCTTGAGGGGCTCAGAGTCCTACTCTGGAGCCCGGACCCCACCCCACCTCAGGAGGGAGGGATCCAGGAAGGAGGCTGCACCATCGTCTCCAGTTTCTTAGGTGCATGTCCCCACTCTGTGCCCATCCTAGACCTGTTCTAGGCTGGCAGTTGGGAAGGACCTGGCCGGGAGGGGTGACTCCCTCAGCCAGTGGCTTCTCCATGCTGCATGTATAAGTGATGAGGCTCCTCGGCCCCGACAGGAACTAATATAGCGGCGGGTGCCAGGGTCAGCCTGAGAGATAGCAGGATTCGGGAGTGACAGCCGGTAAAATTACCCGGAGCAGCCCTGCCTAGTCTGGGGCAGCAGCATTGTGGAAGCTGGGCTCCAGATAGCTCCAGAGGCATTGCCTTCCAGAGTCTGGTTCGTTCCCAGAGAAACCTCCCTGGCAGGCCACCCCAGGCACCATGGCTGTCAGGCCAAGAGGCCTCAGAGACCCAAACTCTAATAGACAGGAAATGAGGGTCAGCTAGCCAGGAGTTGCAGCCAGGACAGGTCCCTGTGGCTCCAGCTCCTTCCAGATCCCAGGAAGTGGCCAGAGGGCTGGGGGAGGGGGCTCATCCCTCATAGCTAGGGTAGGGTCAGGGATCCCGATGGGGTAGGGTCAGGGTCTCCCAGCTCTGGTATGTCCAGAGAAGCTGTCTTCAAGCACCTGTCTCCTTGTATTTGAGGAGAGGTACGGGTTACTGAGTGTGGGTGCCTAGTGAGTGTCAAAGAGCCCCTGAGCTGCCTGCTTCTCAACTTCTAGGGACTCTGCTTTCACTGCCTTGAAATTCTTAGCAATTTTGGCCTCACATCTTCATTGTATATCAGGCCTGGCCCCAGAAACATAAAAAGGGTTTGTTCTTGGAGGGGGGCTCCCTGCCTCCTGCTGCCCAACAGCGCTCAGGCCTGTGGGCCTGGACTTCATACACAAATCTGTGCATGGGTCTATCTGTGCATCTGTGTGCCCACCCTGACCCAGGCCAGGGTGCATTGGAGGTCTAGCAGAGCTCCCCGTCTCACAGCCACTGCTTGGACTGGGGATCTGGGGAACTCAGTGAGTAGCATGCCAGGGAGCAGGCAATGGCTGTGGAGAGGGCGGGCCTTTTCCTGCTATAGATCCATGCCCCGGGAGAGGCACTGGCCGCTGGCTCAGGCTCTGGCTGGGCTATTTT